AGCATTCCCACAAAGCGCGCCTTGTTACGATTAATCACCCGTCCTCGATGTATATGTAGAAGTGTATCTAGGTCTACGCGGGCTGCCTCACCAATTGGCAATAATCAAGATCACAGATTACACAAAATAAATCATATTTAGTATCCCGTTCAGGGCAGCAAGCAGCCCGGTGCCCAAAGATTTTCATTTTGTCATGCAATTGCTTACCTGGATCCCAATTTATCATAAACCCGGTGTCCTCGGCCTCAGAGCAGGCGCCAGTGGGGGGCAGAGCTAGCCTTCCCCCTTTGTCTGCAGACAACACTGTCCCAACCCTGGTCTTGCGTGCTCGCTGACGCGGCCATATACCCAGGCACACGGAATTCCCGGTAGAACGGAACCAGGCTGAGGTTCAACTACCAATAAACGCAGGAGGAACGAGTTCTTAGTCCCTGAGCTGGCTTCGCTTGCACTGCGCACCCATCGGTCCTCCCGCCAGCTTGTCTGCTCCCAGGCCCAGAGCAGTGGCTACCCGCGCCTCCACCCACTCCTGGGTTCCTGCCCAGCCCTCCCAGGCCCCCCAGAGCTGGGGGTTTGTTTTGCTTTCAGAATATGGTCCTTTCTGTATTTGGAGAGAGCCCCGGAAACCCCCTCATAGTCCACAAATACAGACGCTGCCTTCAAATGCGAGCATATTTGTTCACGTGACCCGGAGAGAAGATTGTACTGATTGAGGCTGAAACTTTCACACCATCCAGCCCCAGAGCGCAGCCAGGCCTGGGGTCTGAGAGGAGGGGCAGGAGGCGTGGGATCCGGGCCCCTTCCCTGGGGCAGACACGGGTGGGTTAGAGTTTGAAGGAAAGCTCCCACCCATCTCGCTGCTCAGGAGAGACCTAGTCCCAGCTTGGCTGATGACAGTGGATTGGGGGCGCTGGGAGTCTCTCCTCCCACGACCTCTGACCCTGGGCTGGCCTTCCACAAGAAGGGATGGAAATTTAGGGCCTGTCTTAGAGACCTCTCTGAGGGCGGCTGTGGTGCATTAGATGCTCAGGGTTCCCTTGGCTCCCCGTATGGTCTGCGCCAGTTGCCCGCATTCTCACTCTCCCACCGCTCTCCCCTTTCCTGGGCGAGGCGATTACGTGGTGGCACAGCGCAGGGTGAGGCCTTAAGGTAGGAAGGAGCCTGTAGCTCACAGACCAGCCCGTCACCTCACCACAACCACCAGATCACCACTGGTTGGGGCCTTGGCTCTGCTCGCAGACGCGGCAGACGAGCTGCCACTTCTGAGCCAGAACAGGCGCATACTCAGCCGGCCGGGATCCGGCGCAGCCTCCCTTTACACCTTGCTCTCTCCACCCAGGTCCTGCGCGGCCAAAGCAGGCCACGGCGCCGAGCTGCCGATTACCGTGACCTGTGCGCCTCCGGATCCGGGCTGGGCCAGCGGATTCCGCAGGAATGGCGACTGTCAGGCCGTGTCTTCCCGCTTCCTGCGGCGCCTCCGAGAAGGCGCGGGCCAGATGGGAGAGGAGGGCACTTAGGTTTTAGGAATATGAAATCAGGACAGGTTCTCGGCTCTCTTCTGGTAGTCGGGTTAAATGTATGGTAACAATTCTGCCTGTGGTCAGACGAGTTAAGCTCCCCGCTGGCCAGGAGCCTGCGGCTGGCTTCTAGCTCCTGCCTCCTCGCGAGCCCCCTCGCCGTCCCCAGCCTGGCCCACACCACGGAATCCCACCCCATACGGCGTCTCCAGCCATTTCTTGAAGTCTCGCTTTCCGGCCAACTCTGCTTCTCGGCGGCAATGGACACCGGCGCCGCCGCCGTTTGCAAGGTCTCCGAAGAGCCAGGAATAAAGGGGGTAAGGTCCTCCACACCCCCATTCCAGAGGCCTGGGAAAGTTCCACAGGGCAGGTCGAGGCTCCAGCCCCCAGGCATGCCAGCGGGCCCCTCCTTTTGTTCACCTGGCGGGGCCTGGCTGGAGGCCCACTCCGGACCCCTTTTGGAGCCAGACCGTGGGTGCCCCATTCCACCCCCGCCCAGAGGACCCCGCCCCCTAGCCTTCCACCGGGGCGCGCAGCCGGCTGAAGCAAGTGTTAATCTCCAGCCAAAGAAGGGGGCCCCTTTGCGGGGAATTTGTCTCCAGGAAAGGATCTAAGCCTTCTTCAATCGGAGCATATGTTCATAGAGCAATAAACCGGAAAGATTTACAGTCCTCGCCCGGCCCCCAACAGCCTCGCACCCTTTCAGGAATTACTTACGATGATTTATCACACCAACCCGGGCAATTGTCACACTGATAAAATAGCCCGGGCCGGTGCCCGCCAAGCCGGGGCCTTGGGAGGCTGTTGGCTGCCAGGCTGCCAGCGGGACTAGGGAGGTTTTTTGTGTGTGTTGGGGGGGGGCGGGGGGAGTTCCTCTCCCGGCCTACCAGGAGTTGTGGAGGTGGGTTAGAGTGGGTGGGGTTGGGGTGGGAGGGTAGCCAATTCTCATTGATAAAAAAGTGAGCAACTCAGAGAAAGCACCCGGAATCTGCACTGGAGTCGCTTGCAAAGCACATAAACATTTGTCATCTTTGAATAATTGAATTAATGTGTTATTGTTTGAATGTATAATTCATAAGGGAGGAAACTTTGTCTCTGTCTGATGGGGAAATATACATACACCAAAAAAGAAATCAAAACACACCCAATCCCCAAACAACCACCAAACGCAGCCAGCCTCTCCACACGGAAATTACCTTCAAAGCCACGGAGAGGGAAGGGAGGAGGTAAATAAAGAGGCTGTCCTCCCGGGCATCCTGGCAGGATTTGGGGATTTTCGAGCTAGAAGAGAAAAGTGTGCTGCCCACAGCCCGAATATCCTGCAAGCTGGGGGTGGGATGGGAACGGAGTGGGTCTGGGAACCTCCTTGGTGTGTGGAAGGAAAAGGCTGAAATGAGAGCACGCAGGAGGTGCAGCCTTTGCATCTGCCCTGGCCTGTCCTGCGCACCCCTTCCCCGGATTTCCACTCACCCAGGGTCTCCCGCGTCTGAGGCAAGGACTCCTTCCCCCCCCCCCCGCCTTTCTTTTATATCTTCCCCAAAACTTATAAATACAAAAATAAAGGGGAAGAAGGCAAAACTCCTTGCTGGGATGACAGAAGCAGCAGAGCCTCACTGGGGAGGGAAGGCAGTGGGAGAATCAACTCGGAAATCATTATCTGTTGGTTAAAACCTGCCTGGGGTAAAATTTCAACTCGATTTTATAGCCTCCTATTATGACGCGAAGAAAAATTTACGACCCTCGCTTGAAAAGAGGGCTGGGGCCTTTTCTCACCGGTTTAAGAATAGGCGGCAGATGCCGTGACAGCGACTATTGTTCCCGGTAGACACAGGCGACCCGGCAACTTCGGCCGCGCACGCCCGGCGCATCCCCCAGCCCGGCGGGCTTTACAGCCCCTGTTGTCTCCCTGCAGCCCCAGCACCCTCGCCCCGAGTTCCTTCTCTCTCTCTCTCTCTCTCTCTCTCTCTCTCTCTCTCTCTCTCTCTCTCTCTCTCTCTCTCGGTCATTTTTCATAAGTGCAAACCTTTGCTGAACCAAAGGTCACCATCCAAGCCACTAACAACTCGCCAGCACGCAGTTCCACATCAAGAAGCAAAGGGAACTATTTGTCAGCGGCCCTGACAGCTAAATTCATTAAGGATTTAAATCTGAAGAAATAAAAGTCGCCAAAATATTTACCTGCCGGCTGCGCTCCCGCGCCCTCCACTGGGCCCGGGTGGAGGCCGGGGCGCCGCGCGGGGGGCCCCTGGGCGGGTGATATTCTTGGGATCCCTGCACTTTCCAAGTCGGAGAGAGCCCTTTGCGTGGCAGATTAATGACGACTCCGTGTTTCTTAAGGGACGCGCTGAATTAATTATTTCGCCAATCACGTGGTCGGGACTTGTAGAAATCTATTCTTATCATCTTCCTCGCACTTTGAAAATTCTCCGGGTTATGAAAGGCCCTCCCCCAGCTGCCAGCGAGCCGGGGCCGCCAGCCCGGCGTGGGGGGCAGGGAGGGCTCCCCAACATGGCGGGCGGCGGGAGGCGCCGGCTGCCTGCCGAGGGGCCGAGTGACTGTACTGTACTCCAGCGGGCTCGGCTGTGGACTCGCTTCCTCCTCGTCCCAGCCCGCGACTCAACACACAGCCCTATTGATGTATTGGTGGGCACAGGAGGAGCCATTAGCCAGAAGACAGGCAAAGGACAATCATAGAATGTGCCTGAATATTTAAACTTCTGTCTGCGCACTTATAAATACACATGTCCACGCGTCTGGGGCGAGCGCTTCCATATATTAAGGACACATGTCTGATTTTACGCATTCTGCTCATTTCCTGTCTCAAGCAAGTCCCCCCACCCCCATCTACTTTGCAACTGCTGTCTTCGCCCCTTTTCTAGGAGAGGCAAAAACGTAAAAAAGCCCTCCTGATAAAAATAGCGCAGACCACTTGGATAGTGGGGAGTGTTTATTGTCGTCTGGAAGGCGGAGGGGGGGCTGGGGGTAAGGAGGGGCAAGTGCTAGAGGCCCCACCAGGGTTGAGTCCCACCAGAAAAGTAGAAGGAGCCCAAGACTGGGGGCCCGAGGGGTCAGTCCCAGCTCGGCCCAGAACCCAACACCATACACCCTCTCTTAGAGTTGGGGGTGGAGTGGGGTGGGGGGATCTCTCACCCACCGTGTCACAAACAGAGGCTGAAGAGGTCTGGGGCTGATTGGGGCCACGAAGAAAGCCAATCTGGAGCATTCTTTTAGGCCAGTAACTTATTTTCCTTTCAAAAATGATGTCCACCACCCAGCAGCCTGAATTCAACCCCAGACTTCCCAATGTTCACAAAATATGGTGGCCAAATTGGCAGTATGTATGTATGGGGGAGGGTGTAATGATAGAATTGCTAAGTCTTACACAGTTTAACCTTCATATGCCAAGCACATTTCAGAAAATAAAAAAAAAAATAGTTATATTGAATGTTAGCTGTCAGAAGATTTAATGAAGAATGCTTCTGTGGAGGCACCAAACAGGAGGGAGATTTCGCTATACCTTTTATTTCAAATATAGATCAATGAATTACATCAAAACTACAGGCAACAATTAGTATAAATAATACTTTAATCAATGGCAGCAGAACATTGGTCAATTCTATTTAAAAAGCATCTTGTGTGAACAAACACCATGGGCTGACTGACAATGTCATCTCCCAACAAAAGGCTGCAATGGACAAAGTGAGATGGGAGTTCGAGGAGCAATGTCCTCAGCAAATACTTCATTCCCCCTAGTCACAACCCCAACACAGCTTTAAAAAACACCACCACCAACACAAACACTTCTGGCTCATATTTGGGGGAACAAAGTGGAAACAAATAAAAGCAAATGGGCACTGAGCCTTTCTACATCTAGCTTTCTCTAGAGCACGTTCCCAGATGGAAACTCATTTCCTTCCCTGCCCTAGGTGGTTGGGGGGGGGGGGGGTCCTGCTTCTTCCCTGCCCCACTCTTGTGGGCCCAAAAGGGTGCTGAGGTCCAGTTAGGACCTCAGGGTCGTGGGCTGCCCTCTGGGCCATCCAAGCTAAATTAACATTTCAAAAGGCAATTCCTGGAAGCTGAGAAGGAGAGCTGAGGACTTATAAACAAAGAAGTTGTTTCTCTGATTAAGTTACTTTCCTAAGTAACGGGGCTATGTTTGAGAATGAGCTTGGATTTTCTTCATCAAAACTTTCCTCTTGGCTTTATATTGGGACAGGGGTGAAGGTGTTTAAGTAGTTTTGGCATTTGGCCTAAAGCTGGGTTAAGTAACCTGAACTTTTGGGAAAGGGGGAATCTATAAATAATCTCTACAGTATATAGGGGTAGGCAAAAGTAGGTTTACAGGTGTAAGTGTGAGGAATAGAATTTATTCTTGTATTATTATTGATTAATTATTGTATCACTTATTTGTATTACACTGTAAACCTACTTTTGCCCACCCCTGTATAGTAGTTGGTTGTTGTGAAAACATACTTTTACCCCCTCCCAAGGAGACGTTAAATGTATTCACAGATCTGGGCTTTAAGAAAGAATCTTAGCAACTTTCCAACTTGTCCAAGGATAACTGCTCTTTTCAACTGTTACATCCAAAGACCACTCTCCATGTCAGAGGGGGGAAAAAAAAGAAGAGAAGGGTAGTTAGAGTCCAAAAGGTTAAGGGTTTAGAGGTCAGTCCTCCCGGCTGAAATACAGCTAATCGAACAGAAAATTTGTCCTCTGGATGAACCTGATTCTGTAATTTAGCCCCGAACTTCAGTAAAATACCTTTTCAGCTTCTCAACGTGAGGGTGTCAGAAAAAAGACATCTTGACTATGTATGAACTCTGTGCTTTTTGTCATAGAAACAATGATGTGAATAATGCAGGAATATCCATCTTTAATATCCCGACGTGCCGATATTCAAGTATTGCCATGTGCAAGTCTGAGAGCCAGGCTCACCCCAAAGAGGAACAAAGAGCTGTCCCCAGGGTCTAATACAAAAGACCAAGGCTTGGAAGATACTTTAGAGAAGTGGAATTTCAGCCTAGGGACTCCAGTGAATACCTGCCCTCAACTCTCAGGAGACACTGAACCAAAGAACATGGCTGCAGAGAAAATCTTTTCTTTCCCCTACACCTCAATGTATTTTTAATTACCACTGAAACCTACTAAAGTGTTCAGGAGCACTGAAAAAAAAAAATAACCCCAATTCTGAGTCTCTCTTTTAAGCTCACCCTTTATCCCTCCCTGCTTTTGTCACTTTTTGATAGCTACAACCTGGGGTTTCTTTTTGGAGCCCCAGGCTTTGGGGTTTAAACTTTCGAAGTCCCGTTTCCTTTGAGTATATAAACCCTGGTCATTACCTTTGACTCTTTCCCCTTAACCCTACAGGTCAGCATTTTAGAAAAATGAGCTTTGGAGCCTTCCCAGGCAAGGCATAAGAAAAATGATTAAAAAATATCTCTTCTGTTGTTTGAGAGCGATTGTTTTAAACCACTATTCTCAAGGCAAGAAAGAGGGCCTGAAAACTTTTGTACTTTTAAAATTTCTGCTTCTAACTAATGGATTGAGAAAAACTTCCTTAAGGTTTGTTTTAAAAAATAAAACCTTCAGGGAAAAACCCTAAGACCAACTTTCGTGGACTTCTAGATTCAATTAGGTTTTGTTTTTTTTCCTTTTTAAAGTAAGACTTCCTCTACTTCCCACTTTCTTCCCACTGCACACCCCCTTCTCCCAAATAGGCCATACACCAGTTCTTATAAAATATTGCTAGATGGGCTATTTGGGCATTTGGAATCCAGTTGGAACAGAAAATTTGGTCATTATCAAATGACCCAGAACAGAGGTTTTGTTTTCTTTCCCCAGAAGGAAAATGTTGGACCATTTGTTTCTTTCTTTTTTTCCTTTCCTTTAACAACCTTTAATACTGGTTGTAGCACAGTGCTGAAAAAAGCACATGTGGAAATACATTTTCAAGAATGCAACTCAGATTGGACTCTTTGCTTCCCTCTAGAAGGGTTAAGGGCCCTACACACATTTCCAGGGAATGGGGAGGGGGTGGGGTTCAAAATGCCAGTTACAGCCTGAATAAGTCCACACATCTCTGATTCTGTTTCCTGAAATTTGGACCCTTTCACCATCTTAAGGTTTTTGGCATTAAGATGTCAGTTATTTCTGTACCCCATTCCCCACCAAATAAATATTTAAGCAAATATAATCTAAACATAAAACGACCCGTTTCCACTTCCTTCTTAGACTCATTTCTTTGGGCATGGGCCAGTGGGAACAATATATATAATTTCACACTGGAAGTTATACAGACAACCCAGAAAGTTCAGAAATCCTGGCACAGCTCTCCTGCTTCCATTGAAAGCACCTAGCACAGGGGTGGCTAACCTGCTGCCTGACTCCCCCACATTATTAAACCACAGCATCCCTGGAGGCGTGGGGTGGGGAAGGATGTTCAAATTCACACTAGGGTAAAGCATTCAACCTTCACTTGTAAATTCAAAATCCAACAGCGGAGATTTTCATGAGTTTAATGACTCGCCAAGGTTTTATGTTCTCAGTAGCTCCTGCCATATGATCATATACTTAGAGAGAGAGTCCCATCCCCCTCCCACCCCCATACCCGCTCCAGGTAGGGGGCTGCCCTCAGGCAGGATGCTAACCTAGTCCAAGGACGGCCTGCACGTCCCAGGTCCACCCTACAGTACCTTAGAGCCCAGCGAGGTGACAGCAGGCCGGGCCTGCCCCTGCGGCTTCGGCTCAGCCGGGAGCGCAGGGAGGGATGGGCCCAGGGTCCCCACTTCTATAAGGTCGTCAGGTCCGTGTGGTGGTCCTTGGCCAACGGCTGCAAATGCTGGCCGGGGGCGGCCGAGGAGGAGCAGGAGGACGAGGAGGACGAGGACCTGCCTTTGGTGTTGGGCAGCTTGTGGTCTTTTTTCCACTTCATCCTCCGGTTCTGGAACCAGATCTTGATCTGGCGCTCAGACAGACACAAGGTGTGAGCAATTTCAATCCGACGGCGCCGCGTCAGATACCTGTTAAAATGAAATTCCTTTTCCAGTTCTAGGACTTGCTGCCGGGTGTAGGCTGTCCGGGACCGCTTGGGCTCCCCGCCGGTGTAGTTGGGGTTCACTGAGAGACAAAACAGACCGCACGGTCAGGTCAGCGCCTAGCCGGCCACTAGTTAGGCCCCTGGCCAACGCGCTCACTTCCTGGCGCGCCCCAGGCCCTCCCAGCGCTCCCAGCCGCTCTCCCTCCCTCCCGCCCTCTCCCCCAGCACACACGCTTGCTCCTACCACCTCATCACACCAACCCACTCCCCCACGCTGGCAGGCGGGGATCCCCAAGTGTGCTCCCATCTCCCTGGCCCACCGAAAGCTCCGGAATTTCCAAGCATTTTGGAAAGCCCCCATTTCTCTCCACCGTGGAGCCTCTGTTCGTTCTGAAAATGGAATCCTCCTCCCCCCTCCATGTCCACCCCCCTTTTTGCCCACAGACATGCAGCCAGCCACATGGTCCCGGCCTGCTCCCTCAGCTATAAAAATTTATGGAGAGAGTAACTGAGGTGCCCACTGAAGCCCCACGCGCCCACACCCATACGCACCCCCCCCCCCGCCCCGGGGCGCAGGCCGCTGGGCTGGGTGAGGGCTGAGAGGTCGCTGGGCCCGCGCCTTACCGGAGTTCACGTGCACCTTCTTCATCCAGGGGTAGACCACAGCCGGCTGCTTGAGTGCCGTCCCTGGGGGCGGCTGCTTGGGGCCGCCCGGCTGGCTGCAGGCCCGGGCGCCTGGCAGGGGCGCGGGCGGGGGCGCAGGGGGCGCCGGGCACGGCTCTCCGGGGGCGCCGTAGTGGCCTGCTGGGTCTTGCGCGTGACCCCTCGTGGGCAGCGCCGAGCCCGGGCCCGGGCCGCCGCCTCCGAAGGTCTGCTCACCGAAGTCGGGCCGCGGATAGAGCCCTGGGGGCTGGAAGTCAGCACCCTGTGCGCCGCCGCCGTAGTAGTCGGCTCCCTGCTCGCCTAGGTAGCCGCCCTGCAAATATTCCTCGCAGGGAGGGAACTTGGGGTCCACATACTTGGAGTTCACCATATACGAACTCATGGCCATTAATTTCAGAAGGTAGAAAATACTAATTTTTCTCGTGTTGTCTTTTTTTCTCCTTCCATAGGGCCCTCCTACTTGCTGTCAACTGAATAAAGTTGGCGGCCATGTGACCAGGCCAGCCAATAGCGAGGGAGCGAGTTTATCACCGGGTTGGTGAGCATCTCATAATTTTCACAAATTTAACTAAATAACATACGTGTAATCAAGTGACTCGCTGTGGCACATTCGAGGGCCCTCACGAGATGTTAATATACTTCTAACCCTCAGCACCCTCATCCCCCTGAAAGTAATTCCAGCTTTTGTCTGCCACTGACTTTGCTAATCTCCAGTGCCCTCTCCACTCACCAACCCGCCAGAAAACAGCCCCCCAAAGTGGGCACAGCTCAAAGTGGACTGAATCCGAATATCCGTTGGAGTGTAGGCACCAAAAGGCAGGTGGGTGAGGCAGCTCAGAGTTGGGCAGAATACCCCAGCAGGAAGAGCTCCCGCCAGCCCGGCCGCGGGAACGGGGACTGCCATACAAAGGCTCAGTCCCGGCTTTGTCTTCCTCAGGGTCACCCAAAAGTTACTACAATCTGGCTGGCCTGAATCCATTTAGGCAATGAGTAACCGCCCAGCTTTCTGTGAGTGCCCGAGCTGGGGTAATTCTAGCCAAAGCCAGGCCTTGCAGGTATGGCAAGAGGTTCCCCCTGCCTCAGCCCGGGAAGCTGAGAGGTGTGCCAGGAAGATGGCGAGGGTACCCCACCCCACCCAAATGGACCCCACAAGGACTCTGCACTCCTTCTTTCCAGCTCGCCTCCTTCTTACAGGGCACTCAAAGGCCAGTGAGCCGCTCATGAGGCACCCTCCAACCTCATGCTCCTTGAGGGCCGAGCTGGGGCTACCTGGCCTCCCACCGCACTCCCCAGTCCTCCAAAACCTAGCCCTTTGGCTCCACATTCCTGCAACCAATTAGGTGTTTACACAGGAGCCTCTGTATAAAGGTGAGGTGCTTCTTGAAGAAAAGGGTGCTTTGTGTCACCAGGCTCAGTCGATCCGCTGATCATCCTGGAGTCCAACGTAATAAAAGAGAAAGAGGTGGTTGACCCGCCCCGCTGTTTCTGGCCTCTCCTTCTGACTCAGGCTATTTTGAAGAAAAGTGAAGTTTTTGCATCGACCATATATTCCCCTAGAATCGAATCTGTGACTATGTGGATACCACACAAATTCGGTTCTACAGGGTATATATAGACAACGTTACTACGTTCAAGTTCCACCCAAATTGGGCACCCAGACCGCTGCTAGCCTTGGCCTCTTCCTCGGAGCCACCACCAGCCCGACACCGCCCCTGGCATTTCCAAAGATGGTTCAGGTAGCCTGAAGGGCTTGGTGGCAATTTGCAGCAATGAGCTAGTACCCCACCCTTTTACTAGGGTGGGGTTACCAAGCAGCCAGGGAGCCAGAACAGTCTTCTTAGGGAAGAAAAAATATTCATCCCAGAAATGGCGGTTTTATTATTCCTCTTTCTCCAAATCCAATATCCCTCCCCCCTTATCAAGTGGTATTTTCCAGAAAGGAGCAAATGCCCTCAGTGACAGAAGAAAGGCAAGAGGGGGATATTCTCCATCCACTATTTTTTTTCTACTGCCGGGGCGAGCCAGGTTGGCTGACAAAGCTAGTTCTTCAAGAAGTCGCGCATTTACCTTCCTGAGCCCTGAGCCCAGCTGGCCTCTCCGTCCTGCTGCTGCTGCTGCAGACCCCGAGGCAGGCGCTGTTTGCAGGCACCAAGCTGCCCTGGGCTGGGGCCAATGCACTAATGGTGAAGGGCAGGGTGAGGGGTCATTCAAAATCATTTACAAACATATCACAAAGTTTCATTATTTTTGCTTTGCGGACAGCAGCACACAAGAGTACAAAAGTTCACGAATTGCGTGCCTGCCCCAGCGCTTCAGCGCTGTCTGGGGCTCACCCCTCCATTCAGGGCACCAAGAGAACAGACGCGCCCAAGGCCCGGATGAATTTCAGGGGCAGAGAGATGCTCAGGATTGAGTGGGGCTTTGGGATCCCTGACTGTATGGCAGAGGCTTTAAAATGTTTTTTGATTGTTTTGTTTTTCCACTCATGTTTCAAAAATTTGTTTTGGCCTGGTGGGGCGGAGCAGGGAGACTCCCCTCTGCCCCCCAGCCTGGCAGAATTGGCTGCCTGCTTCCACAATGCACTTTGCACACTCCCCCCACCCCAATCCGTTGGTTCCAGTGCTTTAGCGATTTTGTAGGGATTTCCTGGTGCCAATTCTAACAAGAGCTCTGAGGCTGCCCCAAGCCTACGTCCCTTGTCCCAGGGAGATTCACCCCAACTATCCCTATTGCCAAATGCTCCCCCACACTCCCCATCTGGGGGACACTGGGTCTAGGCTTTATCCAGGCAAATTGGGGGAGCCTGCTGGGTCCGGTGGGGAAACAGTGAGGGTACACATTTTCATATTTGTTAGACGCTGTGACCTGCATTTCACCTTATTGCTCGACTTGTTCAGACAGGTCAAAGCCAATGAGTTATTGATGAACAAAAGCGTTAAATATTCACCCCCCCCCCCCCCCCGCACCACTGCTCATACAAATGCTTTGATCTCCGTTTTTTTGTGCTGTGTTTAGCTAGAGGGTGCCAAATGTGGGTTTTCAAGCGAGGAGCATCAGCAGAGATAAGCACCCCAAGAGCCAGGGCAACGGCAAGAAGGGGGCAAGACAAGAGGGTCCTGAGGATGCCAGACTTTCCAGCCTGGAGCCAGAGCCATTTCACTCGAGCCAGCGTGGTTGTACAGGGAAACTATGTACTGGGTGAAATCTCCACTTCTCCAGTTAGCGTAATCCCCAGGGAGGGAGCTGACTAGGCTCCCCAGCCTGTAGGGCAAAGAAACCTGGCCCAGAGTCAAGTCCCGGCTTCTCAGACCCTGGAGAGAGGGTGACTCACCAGAGAGGGAGGGTGCCTGGTTCCTACAGCCCTGGCACATTCCATCTCTCATTAAAATAAAACCATCTCCATTTTGCAGTGAGGGAGGGGACCACTTTTTTCCCCCTTGACTCTTGAACCACTACCTTGATCCTTGAACCACTACCTTGATCTTAATATGGCAGTCTTCCTGAAACTTCAGGGGCCTCCTCAGATATATACCTTTCTTCTGTGGCATATGCAACTCAGAAAGATCCAACTTCTGAGCCCAGGACCCCCAAAATCTATGCCCCCCACCTCACCTCTCCCAGCCACCCCCCCTCATTTTCCTGCAACACCAGCGGCTTTGGTGCAAAATTTTTCCAATTGCAGCTACAGAAAATCGGAGGTGGACCAGAAGGGCATATTCCTCCCTCCTTACTCAGCCCAGGTCCCCAAACCAGACCCCAAACTGCTGAGACTAGGGCCGAGGGAGGGCTGAGGAGGGACTTCCATCTAAAGCTCTGAATCCGCAGCCCTTCCCGGAAGCTTGCCCACTCAACACAGCCGAAGGGTGGGTTTTTGTTTGTTTCATCTCTTTTTCTTTCTTCTTTTTATAAAAAACGAGAGGAGGTTGGTCCCGGCGGGACCAGGTTAAGTTGGGCTGGGCTGCTGAGGCAGATCGCGTTGCCTGGGTATTTGGCAGGTTGGTTCTAGCAGAAGGCGATGCTAGCCGCAACTTAATAGGGCGGGCTGCTCATTAGCTGCCAGCTCTGAGCAGAAGCGTACTCCCGCCGGAGCTGCACCTGTGCGAGCCGGGAAGCCCCGGGAAGGCCGGGAGGTCCAGGGAGGCCCAAGAAGATGTGGGTGAAAGCCCGCGTGGCACGTTCCCTTAGTTAGGTAACTGTGAGCTAGGCCCCCCAAAAATCTTTCCAGGAGCTCAACTTAGGGCCTCCACCTCCAAAGCGAGCTCCCCTCCCCTCGGCAGGCCAGGGGCAGGGCCGTCCTTCCACCCGCCCACTCCCCGGGCGCGGCCCTGACCCGCCACCTCCCCAGCCAGCAACACCGCCACTGCGATTCGGAAAAAACGGGAAGGTACTCACAGCGGCGGTCTCTCCTGGTCCCGAACCTGTTGCAGTGAAAACGGGGGTCACTTAAATTCCACAGGACAATAAGGCAGACATCGATGACACACAGGAAAATGACAAGGCCCAGACACCCCACCAATACCCAGACCTCCCCGCTTCGGCTGCCCGCCCCCAGGAACTGCGCCAAGTTCTCCGCGGAGCGCAGACCGCAGTCCCCAAGGGCAGATCCACGGAGTAGGAGAGTATGGCCCACATCACCTCCCCCTTCCATGCACCCTTGGGCAAAACCTGACTGGTTGTTTGGCCTGACTCGGGCTGCTTGTAACAGGGTTTCCCCAGTGGGAACACGGGAAGCGAGGAGAAAATGGGCCTTTGTGTGTTTCCTTATGCAGAATAGGCTGGGTGGGCGCAGGTCCACTGGGGAGGGGGCAGTCGCTGCATCTGTCCCCCGCTTCCAGTCTGTCTGGTGCTGAGAGCAATTCAGCTCCCTTTTCCAGTTTCAGACTGGTTCTCAAACTCCCAAACTAGTACCCCCCCAAACTAGTATCCCCCAAACCTGTCTTCTCCTTCCCAAAGAAGGACCAGGCAATACTGGGACTTGCCTTCCCACTTATGCTCCAATTCAAAACAAAGAACAATTTCCAAGGGAGATGAAGACCCAAATGATAAGCCAGGAGGAGGAAAATCAATGGGTTTCAAAGTAAATGGCAATGTTTTAGATTGCTAGCCAGCTCTATGGATGTGGCATCATTTTGTCAGCATTGCTGCTGGAGAACCCACAAAGCAACCTTACAAAGCAGTGGTCCTCACAGAGCCTGGTGTCCAGCTTTTTAAGTTTTCAGTCTCCTCAAGTCCTATTCTAGGCTGGCAATCTCCTCTGAGAAACCTGAGCATCAAAGCCATCTCCATGCCCATCCTTTCCACCTACACTACCACTGTCTTATTCCACTTCTAAAACAGATGCTCTACATAGAGAAGAGAGAGACAGTGAGACCCTCTTGTGAAGTGGGAACTCTCAATTCCCAACTTTCTGTGTCCAGAGGGAGGGGAGAAAACAGGGATTACCCTTCTATTTGTTATTTTAGGTTTAGGCTAAAATCAGAAATTACTTTAATGGGACTTCTTCCCACCCCAGGTGGAAAAGAGAGGCAGAGAAATCCCCCACCCATGGAACTGTTCTGGAAAAAGTAGTAAATAACTTACTGGTTCTCTCTCCTAGTGGGCAGGGGAGCTGAGAGTAGAACGGCCTCCTTCTGAGCCCGGCGCTAGCTGGAGCCTCTCACTTTCCTATCGCTGCTCCAGGAACCAAGCATCTGCACTTGTATGCTCTTAACCTAATTTATGGTGGGAATTATATTTTGGCTTGTCAACTCTCAAGCCATAAAACAAAGTTTATTGGAATCACGTGCTCGTAAATAGCCATTCAGGTCCCATCTCTGCAGAACCATAAATAACCTTTGGCTTTAAACTTTTATTCACTAAATAAAGGTTCACTGCAACTGTTCCCTCACATTTAAATAGTTCCAAATATCCAGAATGCACAGGGGTCAGATTCATATCAATACCCCAGGCTTTTCAAATAGCATCTTTTCAGAGAAGTCCGTTTAAGTTGGGAGATAGTACTATTTGGAAAAGGCTGGTTGGTGGGCATGTCTTATGATTCTTTGGCTGCATTCGCTGTGAGTACCTTCAACTCCTTTATTTCAATCATTTTGTAGCTCTAGATGTGGTAAATAAATAAAGAGAAAAGTCAAAGGCCACTTTTTAACTTGCTTATACCAGAAATTATTTGAGACTTTGTTCAAGCTTCAATAGTAAAAAGGGTGTTTTGGAGAAGTTGGGTGGGCTTGGGGGTGGGTGGCAGCTGGAGTTAACACTTGGCTCTGTATTGTTGTGGATGGGCTCAGCAAAGTCTAAGGTAGTCACATGCCTAGAAGTTTCTATAATTTGCTTAGATCTGAAAGGAAAGCCTTTGCAAGTGACCAAACTGCTTAAAACAGCAAGACTTGGGGTTTGGTAAAGTGCGAAAGTAGAGAATAGCTCCATCGGAATCTTTGGCAACTAAAGCTCTAAAGAAGGTTATAAAACAATAAAACAGCCCTGGTGTGAAGGGGAGAGGGTGTGAGGAAGCAAATGAGGCTCTCAAGGAACTCAAGCCCAGGAAGTCAGATGTCCCCACTCCCCCAGTGCCCCAATCACAGGGCTCAGTCCGGGGCCCAAACCTGGATGGGTCATCTCCCCCCAACTCCTGAACTGCCACTCCCACCAGAGAGGGAGAGAGCCTAAGAGAGCTGGGGAGAGTATGCTCTCCTGCTGAGAAAGCCAAGAAAAGGAGTTGGGCCTGAGGGCTGCTCTACTGGAGAGTGTGACATTCTATGCTTGGGGGAGGTAGGGTGGGAAAGAGGCCCCCAGCTCCCAGCAACAGAAGTAAATACAAAGAACTGATCCCCAGCATCCTTCCATAGCCTTCCAGAGTGCCCCCAGTGTGGAAACATGTGTGATTTTTACAATTCTGATGAAAAGAATGGATGTTCTGTGTAGATTTGTAGAGCACATATACATATATAATTTCTAAGTCAAATTCAGTTGCAAAAGTTCTCATCAGCAAGTCCCATCAAGTGCATAAAAGAGATCCCTCTCTACAAAGATCACTTTGCATTCTAATTTCCACCCATTCTACATGCATTTCAAAACCCATTTCCTGATTTGACTTTCACTGGCTAGAAAGCAGGGGGTGGGGCTGTTAGCCTAGACTGTATAGCACCCACTTCTCCTCCCCCCACCATTAACTACTTAGGAGGATCTTTTCTTTTACAATTGGTAGTATCTGTTTTTAAAATGCGTAAAGATCAACCTCTTAAAAAATGGCTTCTGATTCTGTTAGTACTAAGTGACCAGCTTCAAATATAGTCCCTGTTAAACCACTCTATAAAAATAATCAAAGTTGGAAGCGTAGGAAAGCTTTTTTATTTTTCCTTAAGTTAATAAAACAGAATTAAACAAAGGATGTCTGACTTTCTAGGCAATTGTGATGAACTTTCTATAGGGGTGGGAGGTGGTGTTTGAAACAATGCCTGGCTAGTTGCAGTTTAGTAGATTTTTTTTTTTTTTAATGTATGATGATGAAAGATGGTAATTGGGACTTGCTTGTAATCTTCACTGTGGCATACAGAAGATGAATAAAATTAAACAGCCTGCTCTGTATATTCAGATAACAGTAACTAGCTATGCATAGAGGAAGGGAAGAGAGGAAGACAGTGAAGCCGACACCTTCGATTACTTTTCTAATCTTAGAAGAGCCAGAAAACATGATTAAAGAGAAAGTGTCCACCTTCCTACAATATTCCTTTGCCCTCCCCTCCCACGACCCCCAATGTCCTGGGCTTCTCTAGATGAATGAGAGAGTGGGGAGGAGGAAGAGCAAACTCTGTCTAGTAAGAACTTTGAGCACCAGGAGGGGACAGCAGACTATCTTGGGCTAATTTGTTGAGGTTTGCCCAAGGACTTTCAATGGTGGTGATAGTGATAATGAAAGAGAAGGTAGGGGAGGAAAAGTTGAAGTTTTTGTAAAGACCTGTAAGGAATTTGTTTCTGGGTAAAGTGAGGCTGTAGACACTGTCCTTCCCCATTTGGCTAGAAAGATCCAGTTCTGAATTCCTCCCAGAGAACTCCCATAAGGTAGAGTCCCTGTAGGGCTCTTCCCAACCTAGAAGCCAGAACAGCTCCCAGGAAGGAGGATGCACCAGCTATACTCCAAATGTAATGAGGTCTGTCTTCTGCCCACCCTAAGAGCCCCTCCTATGTGGCCCCAGGAAAGAGTATTCTGATCTTGACTTTTAAGAGGTTTCTTGCCCAGAGGTCATATTAAGCTCTCCCCTTAAACGAAGCATCTGCACAAGCAGAATAGGTATGGTTGAGACTTTGGATGAACTCTCTGGGCCAGGGACAGAAGGAGAAAGGCCTGGCCCTTAAGGGGTGGAGCCAAAGAAGGGCTGGGGGTGGAGCCAAAGAAGGGCTGATCAGGGAATCCCACGCAGGAGGGAAACATGATCCCATATTCTTGGCACTGAGCTGTACCACTGAAAGAGGAACATACTCTTGCCACACTACTCTTACCCCCTACAATGGAATTCATGCATTGGAGCTTTGCCTTGGTGTTCTCTGGGAAGAAAGGTAACTGCAGAAGAAAACTTCAATAGTGAGAGATGAAAGCCAAAAGAATGGGCCCTGGGGCAGGATATCTGACAGTGGGGTCAGAGGCTGAAAAAGGGACCAAGAAGGGCAGGGCCTGGGTTGGCCATCTAAGTCCTTTGAGAACCAAAAATGGAGGTTATATGGCACAGAAGTTGGGATGGCTGGAGGGCTAAAGTGCTGCCCTATGCCATGGACGAAACTCCACCTGACACGGTTGATAGCAGAAGAGATTATGTGTGTTTTGGGAAAAAATATGACGCAGGTGGACTCCTGGTTAAACCAAGAGAAGCATCGTAGCCAACGGTTGGGGAGGCCCTCACAGGAAAAGTCTATAGGCAGAAGTCATGGAAGCCAGGGCTAGGAACCTGAATGCCGTGTGTGTGTGTGTGTGTGTGTGTGTGTGTGTGTGTGTGTGTGTGTGTGTGTGTTGTCACCCGAGGAAGTATTTATATAACTGTTTTTAAAAGATAGAAGGAATCTCAAAAATTTGGAAGAGCTGGAGGAGATTTTTGAGGATAAGGCCTCTCAAAGACTTACCTTGATACCACTATGGCCCAAGTTGGGAGCTATGGCTCAGCTATAGTCCTGGAGCCCAGATCTTGGAACACAAGCAGATTAAGGAGGAGTGGGACACTCCAGCCTCCCCTGCTGTTGCCCACTGGCCTTTTGCTTTTCCACCCTACCCAAGATTTCAAGAGACTGAAAAGAGAGTATTTTCCTGAGGCTGTAAAAGAGGGTTCTTGCCCTGAAAGGTGTGACTGATAGGTGGTGGTAGAAAAGGGCGCCTTCAGGAGCTGGAGAGTGGGACCTGCTCTCTGGAAAGGCCTGAAGCCCTTTGTCTGAGTCGAAGATGTGTCTATGTGGTTTTGAGGCTTCCCCTACCTGCCATCTGCCCACCGAGGAACTAGGGGTACTTTCTTCCTGGGTGTGGCCCTGAAGTAAACCTGTAGACACACGGAGGCCCAAGAGAGCAGGGCCTGTGAGGCCGACTGCAACACTAGTAAGAGTCCCAGAACTATGTGTTCCTGGGTCTACCACTTCCTGTGACCAAGCCTAGGCCTGTCTTCTCCTCTGTAGAATTCAAGGATTGGTGAGTGAATCAAGTCTCTTTCAGCTCTAAAAGTCTCGGCCTGGATTGCTTAGCAGAAAAGAGAAAGCGATGATAAGGAACACATAGTGAATGCTTGTTATGTGCTAAAACACTGTTTTAAGTATTTAACCAGTGAGTTAATGTATATAAAGTAGTTGGAATAGTCTTTAACACATAGTAGTGACATGTAAGTAAAAGTCCTTGTAACACTTGAAGGTTCTGTCATTATCCCTACTTTTCAAATGAGGAAATACGTCCCACTTTCCTAAGGCCACAACAGCAGGTAAGCGGTAAAGATTTGAACCATGGCAGTCTGAACCAACTCACTTCTTTGAAATCTCCAAGTTAGCAAAGGGTCAATGTCCCTTTCACTAATGTGAGCAATTATTCAACTTATGGGATAGTGACATTAGAAAACCCAATTAGGGAGTGAGCACCAAGAACTATGGGGATACCTGAGTGGTAGAGGGAATTTGACCCCTGGAGACATAATAACCATAAAAGAAGCAGGAGAGCCCTTGATCAAGTGGCTCTCAGACATAAGTGCATCTTAATTGCCCTGGGGAAAGAGTGTTTACAAAATGCAGGCCCCAGATAATATGATTTAATAAGAAATCTGGTGTGAGACCCAGGGACTTGTATTATAAACAAGATTTGAATGCAGGCCTTCATGAACAACACTGCCCTAAAATGGGAAAAAGAGGGTGAAACTGCATCGCCAGGAGACAATGAAGTTGGATTAGAGCCCATTTTTAAAGTTGGGAGCCACCCCTCGTGCAAGAAATACCTTGTGGAGCCCACCAAAGGCCTGAGATGGGAGCAATGGTGAGAGAAGGGCCTGTGGGTGGTGTAGAAAAGGGTAGAGATAGGCATCTGCATAATTCTTAAGCCAAGAAGTCAGTAAATTTTGCCCTGGCTCTCAAAGGGAGACCCGGGGAACCCCAGGACACAGGCCTTGCTCTAGGTAGGACTAGGTGAACCAGGGCAAAGCTCCTCAGCCTGCAGGAGGCGGCACCGCGCTGTGCTTTTCAAGGCTGCCCATTCTGGGTACCTGGGGTCGTGGAAGGGTGAAGTGTAAAGCACAGGAGCCCAGCCAGCAAGAGGGAGCTCCTTGGGACCCCATGGATTGGGCGCAGCTTGCCCTGCCACAGGACCCAAATTTCTTTCCTGCTCTCAAGAGCCAAGCGCGTGAAAATCACGCCCCCTCCAGGAAGGCCAAGAAAGTGAGGTAACCTGCCTGCCACCCCGGAACCGGCCTTCAGGCTCCAGAGCCTAGAGGCAATCTCAGCTTGCCGGTTCCGAGGAGCCTCTCCCTGGGAGTGGGTGCAGCGTCCCCGACCCGCCTCGGAGGTAGAACGCACTTGGAGAGCCGAGGTGGACAGCCGGTACCGGGAGGCGCGGGATCACGTGTCTCCCCCTCCCCCACCTTCCCCGGCCCGCTCCCGCCCGGGCCACTCCGGCGCGGCTGCAGCCGCGAGACGCTTGTCCTACAGCGCCTCCTCCTGGACAAGGCGCCAGACGACTGAGCAGGGCCGCTGCACGGCCCGGAGACTCCAGCCGCGGCTTCTTCGCGTGCGCGGAGGTCTCCCCGCGCTGTGAGCTTGTTCCGCGGCATCTCCCGCGGCAGCCAAAGGAGTTCCAGTCTTTGAGACTGCCTCCTACCGCACCCTCTCCAGCACTGACAACACACTCGTGGCCCAGGAGCGTGCATCCCCATTAATTAGGCAAGCCCAGGCCGAACATCCTCCAGTTTTTCAGTTTATTTACTTATTGGACCGCTTTCTGCTGAGCCGCTGGCCTCCGCAGAGCCCTCGAATGTGTTGCGCTGGCGTAACAAGATCCGGGGAACGGTCTGGCTGAGGGATTGGCCTGAAGTTTGGTGGTTTGAACAGGCGCCAAAAGGAAGGGCTTTTTCCCAAAGCAGAAGCATCAGGTTGAAAAAAATCTGTACACGTCTCTGAGGATCATATACATAAAATCCTCTTTTAAGGGGTGTGTGTGTGTGTGTGTGTGTGTGTGTGTGTGTGTTAACACCTTGAAAGATTTGGTTTCCGTTTGGCCACTAGCTCTTATTTGCAGACTGTTCCTAAGTACAGGTTTAAATTGGGGTGGGTGGTGAGTTGAGATGTTTGAAAATAACGTAGTCAAGGGCAAGATGTTCAGCTATATTTAGATTGAAGGCTGGAATAAAGCTAAGACGAGTAGCGAATCCTGAGGGAGGGAGGAGTGGAGAGATCCGGTTATATTTTCCTGTTCTGAGTCCACTCCCCCCTCCCCCCATCTGTGCTTTGCTGGTTGGATTCCCGGGCTGGGCTATTTCAGTGCACATGCGCCAGGCGCTGGTCGAGCGTGCGTGGCAGGCTCCTCGGGGCTGTGCGGGCGCTGTGCGGGGGTGTGCGGCACCGCGCACTGCTTCAGCGCCTGACTGCTGGGGCGCTTAGACTCCCTACATCAGGCAGCAAACATACGTTTCTTTTTCAGGAAAACCTGTATTAAAAGTGCCAGCCGTCCTTCCTGATTTGCAAGTCCTGTTCTGCCCACCCAGCACAATCGCCATGTTGCCAATGAACACTCTCAAGGTTGTGTCATTAGGATCAGCAATTTCACATCTAGTGCAGGGGTATCTCCTGAGTGTTCACCAAGGCGGGGGGGGGGGGGGGCACCCTCCGTTCAGAGAGCACAACTTCTCCTTCCTTGTGCACAACGATCAAGTCTAAGGGGCCAGAAAGTTCCTAGAAAGAGGGTATCTATTCACACCAATTCCGGAAAAGTGGCCCTAAATTGGACTTAAATCGGAATTCCGAGTTCTTGGTGGCTTCTCCCCAGCTTCCGGTGCCCCAGTGCCCTGCCCCGCGGCCGGCCGCACTGCGGCAAGGCCGTAAATACCTCTAACAGCTGCCTGCCAGCCCAGAGTGAAATACTGTCTTTGTTCCGATTTCCCCTGCTTCTCGAGCTCAGAAAACAAAATTCTGGCGAAATATATTTATTTGGAAGAGAGTCTGACAGGAAAACACGGTTGGTTTTCAGCCCTGGTGCCTGGCCGCATTTATAATAGCCTAACAGCGAGCTTTGCTGTTTTTCCTGGGCCTCCAGGAGAGCGCAAGCCCAGCTCGCAGCCTGGCCAAGGCCCAGACGTGCCATGGGCTCCATCATGTGTAAAGGGATAGAGGTAGAGGTTCGGGCCAAGGACCCTGGGAGTTACACTCCCCCAGCTTGTGAGCTCTGAGAGTCCAAGTGCTTTTTCTTTCCTTTAATTTTTTTTATTTTATTGGGTTAACAGGGACAATGGAGGGATTTCCGGCACTGGCCAAAGCGTTAACTAGTCTCCTCTTGGACTAAGTGGCCTGAGTTTAAATGTGATTTGTGATTATTTATTCCCTTAGATGCAATCAGCCATGTAGTTCCAATAAGTTCTTAATGCTGCCACCTGGGCTTACAAAGAGCCCTTCAGTCCTCCATATCTAACTGCCCATGACATCACCCTCTGCCGCATGATTGGACCTGCAGCCCGCCCAGGTTCCTAGTCACTTGGGCTCGCTCAGCCACCGAACCCAAAGAAAAGCGACTGCAGCTCTGAACACCAGGACTTGGTCATCAGGGACTCAGCTCCTCCCCACCCCACCGCTGTCGCCGCCGATGCCTTTGCAAAGCCAACGTAGGGGCTCCTTAGGCTCCGGAGCTGCCAGGGGAGGGCCTACGAGTCCCCCAGCAGGGCCCTGATTTTCAATATGTAATGTGTTTTACCAATATGAAAGGTTACTCTCAACAGCCATTGTACCATAGTAGAGAAATACAGTAGTTACAAAATACGGATATTCCACATTTTAAAATCACTCGGAGTTTCTTATTTGTGAGTGTTCATCGTTATTGATCCGTGACAATTCCGCAGACGTCAACTGGCCACAAACCGTGGCCCTCCATTTTGAAACTAGTGTGATTCCATTGTTAATTACTAAAAATACCTTTCTACAAAGATGGCATTTATTTTTAGAAATGCTTGTAGGGCCAACGCGGTTACACTGGAATATTTGGGGAAACATTAAGTCAGATTTTGCCTCTGAGTGCTTTGAAGATCGCACTCCGCCATGCGCAGGTCCACGCCATGCGCAATGCGGCAGATTGTCCAAAGGTTTTAGTATTTCACAAGGTGGCCGTGGGTAAACAGGCAATAGGATTTGAGAACTACATTCGCAAGTATGTACCATTCAAAATTGGTGGGAGAAAATAACGTTCTTTTTTTTCTGCAAAGATTTTTCTTTTGACTCATAATGTTTCAGTTCAATAATTTTGAAGAGGGGAAATGTTGCTATAGAATATTGATTTGTAGAAACCCCCACCCCCACCCCAAAACATCACAACACGACAGTACATCTAGAGAGTAAAATATGTACCCTTTTCTACCCTGGCAAATAAGAAACACACGCGATGTTTGAACATACACATGCTTCGCATTTCTGAAATGTCTGATTGGTTTTCTACCCAAGCCCTGCACCAGATTTCCTGATACTACAACCTCCCCCCAGATGCATCCATTTTGTGACATAAAATAATCCAAATTCACCTTTCAAAGCATTAGCTGTGGGAAGAACCTTTCTTCAGTTGTTACAAGCGTTCACTAAGAACTACAAACGGTTTAAAATATTTAAAATTCCATCTCATACACAAGGCCCAATAAACCATAAACCCCAGAAATTCGTCAGCATCACCTACCAAAAACCTAGATGAACAGCAAACCAAGCACATCTTAGATACACAGAATGCAACCCGCGCCCCACCCCAAGCCCCAAACCTCAAAAAACACCTGTTTGCCTCCCAGGTACCTCTGACCCCAGACAAACCGCAGAACACTCTCCTGCAGCGTGTGCTCCAGGGCCCCGCAGCGCTGAGACCTCGGGGAACCGGCTGCACACCCTCCCCAGGGTGGGGGTGGGGGAGCTCTGGATCCAGGCGGTGGGACCCGCTCTGCCACTCTCCACCCCTGCAGAGGAAATGGGGCTTCCCCTCCACTTCTGAGCTCAGCAGGACCCCACCGGCCGGCTCAGAGACCAGTGACTGGGGAGCAGGGGGCGCAGACCGCCATCCCCAGGTCCTGGGCCGGTGTAGGGGGTCGGACCCGGCTCACCAAGCTGCCCCCCCAGGCGACGGGCGCCTCAAACTTCCCTCTCGGGGCTGTGCTCGGGCGCGGGGAGCGGTGGCTCTTACCCGGAGGCTGCGAGCTGGAGGCGGGGGTCGGCCGGGGAGGCTGCTGTAATCCATGAGGCGCGGCCGGGCTCCGCGCGCTCCGGGCGTCATGGACCTGCCGGCCTGCGAAGGAGCCCGGGCGGCGCGGCGGCCCCCGGGAGCCGGCCGGGGGCTCCAGGCGGGCGCTGTCGGCGCCGGCGGCGGGCGTTCCGGCGCCTGGGGCTCCTTCCGGGCTCTTCCTCCCGCCGGGCTCCCCGCGAGCACGCCGGCTCCCCGCCGGCTCCGGAGGCCGCGGCGGGGCCAAGTCGGGCACCGGGTGGGAGCCGAGGCCCGCGGAGCCCGCACTCCCGCAGCCGCGACTGGAGCCCACCTCTGCGGAGACAAAGGTTACGGAAAGAGGGGGTGAGGCTCAGGAAGGCAGAATGCGGGGGGGAAATTCGCCTGGGAAATCAGGAAAAGGGCCGTGAAGGCGAGCGGCGCCTGCACATGACCAGCCGCAGCCAATGACGACCGCAAATAGGTCATAAAAAGGTCTATTACCAAGTTGTAAATTTTCTTCAAACAAAAAGGAATTTACTGCAATTCCTTGCGGATTTTGCACGTACAGCTCGCAAGCGCCATGTTTTTCCCTCTCTTTCTCTCTTCTCTCTTCGTCCTCTCGCTTCCTCCCCTTCACTTTCTCTCTCCCTCCCCTCGACTCTCTCTTCCTCCCCCACCTTCTCGCACCCCCTCTCCCTCATCCCGTCCTTCCTGGCCTCCCTTCTCTCTTCCTTGTCTCCCTTCCTCCCTTCCTCGTACTTCTTCCTCTCTGTCCATTTCCTCTGCTCTCTCTGCTTCTTTTGCCTCCATGGTTCCTGACTCTCTCGCCTTTTCTAGGAATCATTTTTTTTCCGTTTTGGTTTGCCTCTAAATATCTGCTCAGTTTGGCGCTGTGGTAGAGGGGGAAGGAGTGCGGTGTGCAGCCCAGGCGCTTGGTAATCCTGGCAGTCACCTCCCTCCAACTCTCCTCTTACCCTCAGCTTCTCTTCCCCTCCCCTCACAAAAGGCCCACTCCCGAGGGCAGCCCAGCACTTTCGGGGTTTGCCCCTCTCATCTCCTGGCAAGCCAGAGCCGGTGATCTTGCGCAGAAAACCTGAAGGCCAAGAAATCGCATTCTCCTCCCTCACCCGCTTCCATCATAAATTGGGGTCTATCCTATTCCTTGGGGATTCTGGGGTAGGAAAGTCACCAACCAGCTCAAAGATGGGAAGTGCTTTTAGATACCTGTCAACTCCAAAATAATAGTTTGAGCTCCCGGTGCCTGACCTTTATCTCAATAGAAACATCCTCCTGGTCAGTTCTGGCTTACAGAAGCAATCTTTCTGGATCCCCTCAGAAACCTCTTCCTCGAAGTCTCCCCTAAGTGCAGTTCTAATTTCTATGGAATTTAATTATAGTTCCTCTCCTCTTCCTTTGCCTCCCCGCCTGCCCCCCAATGTTTGTCCATTGAAAAGCCTGCTCAATATACTATCAAGGAGGAGAGAGGCCCCATTTATTCAGGAAAAGAGCGACTCCCAGTTTCAGCCTTGGGGGGGGGGAGTCATTTTTATTCAAAGGCAGGAATCACATTCCTTTTGCACTTCTGATAGGAGCTGCTCCAGTGAACCTCAGCTGAAAGTGAATGTCCTTGGCCAGCCCTAGCATTCCCCTCATCATGAATGCATGGGCATGGCTGCCCGGCTTCAGGACCTGCCTGAAAGAGGTGCCTCCTTCCTCTCATCCTTTCAAGGACACTGTCTTTGGACTTCTAGTAATGTGCTTGTAAATATTTGCATTGGATCGCGGTGTAAGTTCTCTGCTATTAACATCTCCACACACAGTAAGTACCTAAGTGGATGTGCTCCTAAGTAGGAGAGCACAGCACCCTCTGGAGCAGGCCATTTGCATTTCTTGAAAAAGTTTCAGTGACCTTGGATGTTTCTGATTAAAGGTCTTATGTTGCCATCTGTCAGCAAAAGTCCTATTCTTTCTAGAAAAAGTCAGTGGGTTTTAACTTTTTTGGAGGGAACTGTAACAGCAGCCAGACTCCTTTCAAATGTTCTCTTCTCTTCCCCTGACCATCCCCTGATGCCCAAGGATTCAGCAAACACTGGAGAAGCACAGGACACAAGCTTGGATGTGAAATAGCAACACGCTCTCCACTGAAGAATAATAAAACAATGCTTTTAATGATACAAGAAAATGGGGCAACTTGTTGGGCCCTCCCAAGCAACAACACTTTTCAGCGGTTCTCAACCTGTGGGTTGAGACCCCTTTGGCAGTCGAATGACCCTTTCACAAGGGTCGCCTAAGACCATCCTGCATATCAGATATTTACATTACGATTCATAACAATAGCAACATTACAGTTATGAAGTAGCAACGAAAATAATTTTATGGTTGCGTCACAACATGAGGAACTGTATTTAAAGGGCCAGAAGGTTGAGAACCACTGCTTTAGACCATTCTATTCATGTGGAACCTAACATTGTTCAATCATAAAAATTTCTGATAAATAATCTCAATTGACAATTTTCCTCTCCCCCTCTAGTCAAATAAAAACTGAGCTTTATGACCCTCCTTTTCACCTTGGGGAAGAAGGGCTGGAAAAAGACTCTACACTGAAAAGGCAGCCATATTTGCAAATTTTCCCCTAGTGCAGAGATAAGGGTTGTCCTGGGTTTTGTGAAACATCACAAAATGGCAATCCCTGAACTGACTTTTCTCTAGGAACCACTGAGACCTACACCCTCTTTTGTTTGTTTCTGGTCCTCACAAACAAAGAACCTCAATCACTAGGAAGACTTGGTTCTTTCCTTTAATGTTAACATTAAAGTGTCGTATTTTTCTCTAAACGGTTTACAGACCTCTCTAAGCAGATTCCCTAAGCAGTACAGTGAAGAGAAGCAGTCGCCTGGGTTTGCAAAGTGTTTTCTGAAGGTTTATGCAAATTTCTGCAGCAAAACTGTTTGTTCAGTTGCCGCAATCCTCGGATGTTAACAGATTTTAGCCAATTAGAAGAGCATCTTCTGCACTCGTCACTGCAAGTCTCATAAAATACCATGATGGGCGGTTTCTAGCTACTATAAAAAAGAAGGTGGTGAGTGTGTGTGATGTGTAATTCCCAAGCTCTTTATTTGGAGACAAATCTATGGTTTTCTTAGCTACAAAAGGAAACATACATACTGACATTTATTTATTACCAACACTTTCTGCACATGTGTAATCTATGTATATGTACAAATCCACCAAATATTTACCAAAAATTATCAAATCTGTATATGTACAATACTCTCAAATACACCAGTAATTGCAAGTCTTTTTCTGTACATGAGCTACGATTTTACCATGTGGTTAGGGGCAAGATGGGACCAGAAGGTACAGCACTTCCAGAGCAGCACAGAATGCAGAGGAAATAAGGATGTTTTTACTCCCCTTTTTTCCACATCCATCCACACACCAGGTTCCCTACCTAATAGAATCTTGCCCGAATTAGTCTCTGAAAGTGCTATCTAGGGAGTATTCTTGAGTGGAAGAAAGCAAATTTTGCTAATAGAGGAGTCCCTTAACTAGAGGGCAGCTGGAGTTTAGCCAGTACCAGTCTCTGGCAAGCTTACCACCACCCCCACCGCACACATGGGTTTTCAGGCGCTTGGCATCCTTGCTCTTTGTCAGCCAATAGCAGTCTCAGGCAGCACACAGAGCAAAATGTTTCCAAATCCAGCATGCACGTTTGCAGCTGTCTCCTCTCCTGCAAATGTTTCTTAAGCCCCAAGCCATGACTTAAAATTGTCTTTCCTGGCTCAGGTCAGCGAATGCCACAGCCACGGTCTCTTCCCTAGATAGAAAGTCAGGCGGTGCTTTGCCTCTAGCCCAATCAGTGACATTTCCCTGGACCTTGAAGTGGCAGGCAAATAGCCCACCAATGCCTGAGGGGGTGATCCAGGCCCAAAACTCTAGGATTCTATTTCCTTACCTGTGCAATAAATGCCACTTTGGAAATTAAATGTACCTCTTTAATAAGCCATCTAGGAAAAGCAAAGTTGCTTTCCCTTTTGGGGGGAGAAATGTTAGTTTACTTGAATTTCTTCTCTTCTCTCCCACCTCTTTCCCCCCTCCTCTTCTCTCATAAAATGGCAGCTGCAGACGCGGCCTCAAATGGAAAATGGATATCTTGTTAATAACAGAGCCCAAACCCCAGCATCAGTTCGGGCTCAGCAGAATAAGCTGTGGTGTAACCTGGACTCTGGGTCGTCCCCCCCTGGGCCTACAACTTGAATCCTTTGTGAAGTTCAAAGCTTTCACACTATCTTAGCAAGGTTATTTAGAGCAAGATGAAGCTACTGTAGCCTAGTCGGCCCTCTGGAATTAAAGAGACTGCCCCCGCCTGCATTTATTTATTTTTATAGCATGTAACCCCCACCTCTTTTTTTTTTTAATCAAATAGCTTTTGCCTTCATGTGAGTAAAGGAAAGGCGTTATTTGCGGCGCTCAAAGACATTAGCTCTAGAAAAAGATTCATTTCTTTATTAAGGAGCTAGCTATGTTCTGGAGCGGTTGTTTACACTTGGATTTTTCTGCATTTGCTCCCAGGGTTTGTTTCAAATAGGTGAGGCCATCCTGGAGAACAACAGAGGACGTACCAACTGACATCTGAGATGCACATGGTAAGTTGGCTCAAAATGGGCACACAAACAGAGAGAAGAGAATACAAATAAATATGGCACCTACTCAAAAAAAAAAAAAACACCAAAAACACCAAAAAAACGAATCACAGAGGTGGCTACAGCACCGAGACCTAAATTTCAGTCAATACCAAATGCAGTTCAAAACAAAAGCAAGTTTTGGAAGAAGAGGCATTCCACAAAGTGACTTGCTAGAGTGAAAAATTAATGAATGAAAATGTTATAATTGGCTTTTCAAGTATTCATTCACTCTAGATTAAACTGCCATATTTGTATAGACTATAGAAAAATTATTAAATGTCAACATTGACATTGCCCTGAAACTTTTGTCACTGGCCCAACATTTCCCCCAAGTTTAGGAAGCTGCAGAGCCGGGACTACACATTACACTCTTCAATTAACATGTGCTTTTGAAATATTTGGCCCACACTCCTCCCAGAGATATTACGTTTACAAAATAAAGAGTCCTCTTAGGAGTAAACAAAAGGCACCTGAACTCACTATTATAAAAGCAGAAAGAAAAATACATAAATAATACATTTTAATCAAATAAAATAAAGTAAATATTCTGCAGGCATAATTTTTTTAAAAAATTATAATAGATTTCTTTTAACTTACTCACCATAAAGAAAAGATTTAAAATGTTCAAGTGCACTTGTTTGATTAATAAAGCATTTTATATTCAATTATTTAGTGCTAGTTATTAGGAAGTTTACGTTGTTGAGGCAAATCACCAGCTCAGACATTAAAAACTACCATTATAAAAATTTTGCTATAGTTAGTATCAAATTACCCTTACATAGGACAGCTCAAGAGCTGTTTCTATGTGATACAAGAAACGTTTTAAAACACCCAAGTCCCTCTCAAAAACCAGAAACCTCAAGAGCAGTGACATGAAGGTAGCTTGAAATACAGGTAAAGTCCTTCCGACCAAGAAAATAGGTGGTGTCCCCCAGCATATGTTGATCATTAGCTTTAATAGTCTGTGGTAAAATTTTAAAGGTAGAAGTTAATTCGTGGGGCCTTCAGTTCTGTCTTCCTCCAGCTCTTGGGCTTCCTTTTTAGTTTTCCCATCCTTCACCTCTTGCAATGTTTCCTTGTTGTTCTCCTTTTTCCATTTCATTCTCCGGTTCTGGAACCAGATTTTTACCTGTCTTTCCGTGAGGGCTAGGGCGTGGGAAACCTCGATTCTTCTCTTTCTGGTCAGATAAGGATTAAAAAGGAATTCCTTTTCCAATTCTAGGGTTTGGAAACGACTATAGGTTTGTCTTCCTCTTCGTCGACCAGGAGCTGCTGATTAAAAAAAAAAAAAAAAGAGGAAAATAAACGTTTTTTAAAAATGTAATGGTGTCTCTGCAGGTTGCTGGAGGTTTCTGGAGTGGGTTTAAGGGATGAAATATACACAACTCTCTTTAGCTCTAATATATATATGATGTGCAGGCAAGAGAGAGAGAGGTCTTCACAATTATTCTGTCCCCATCATCGTTTCGTGGTTTCTACTTTAAGGGGGAAAAGTCAGTATTACTTTATGAATAAGAGCCACTGTCGCAACAAAAGAAGGAAAAGGAGAGGGAGAGGGAGAGGGGTTTTAAAACTAGAACGTGAGAGGAAAGCAGATTTCTCCCCCTCTCCCCGCTTTAAAAAAAAAAAAAAAAAATGCATCCCAACCTTGTGGTCTCATCCAGGCAAACATTTGAGAAGGAGACGAGCTCTGATTTAAGTGGTCTGGGTCCTCGCCAATATTACCACGGGACGATTTACAGTCAGGATATTGTACCAGCTCGGCTTCTTGCTGGGTCGTAAAAATCGGCTGTCTCTGTAAGTTATCGTATCCGTAAAACTTCGCGGGCTCCCCGTGACAAGCCATCCCGCCGCAGGGGGGAGGCGGCGGCGGCGGGTGCGGAGGAGGAGGGGGGCCGGCCTGGTAGGCTGCGGCCGGGCTGCCCCCGCCGGGGTGGTAGTAGTCCTGGCCGAGGCCCGGGCCGCCCCCACCACCGCAACCCGGCCCGGCGGGCCGCGGCGGCGGGTGCGGGTGCGCGTGCGCCTGCGGGGGCGCGTGCGGGAAGCCGGCGGCGCTGTTGCCATAGAGTTGCAGGGCGGCGGCGTGGCGGCCGCCGACCTCAGGCGCGAAGTGACAGTCGTAGTAAGTGGGATTGATGGCCTCGCCCGCCGCCTTGTACTTGGCGTACGGCGACGGGTTCACGAAGTACGAGCTCATCGGCGCGGCGGCGGCGATCCGGGGCCGAACGAGGGCGGCCCTGGGCGGGCGGGCGGGCGGCGCGGAGCAGGAGGAGCGCGCCTCGGCCCAGGCGCACTGCCGCGGGGACCTCTTGGGGCCGCTGCTCGCGTCGCCGAGCCGCCGAGCTACGCCGCTGCTGCTGCTGCCGCCGCCGCTGCCCGCCCGCGCGTCGCCTCTGAGCCTCGGCCGCCCGGGAGCTCGGCTACTGGGAGCTCATGCCCGGCTGCGGCCCCCGCCGCCTCGGCCTCGCGCCGCCTCCCCTGTGGGTCGCGGGGCCTCCCCCAGTCCCCGCGCTCACCGCCCACCCGGCCTCTCCCTGCGCGCGCCGGCTCGGCCGCAATATAATCGCCGACGCCCCGGGTGACCTGCCCCGCTGCCTCCACTGTTTCCTCTCTGCACCAGGCGGCCCTCTGCACACCGGGACCAGAAAAAAAGTGCGCCCGGCCCACGGGACACTCTTTGGCTTCGATTTACAAACCCCCGCTCTGGAGGGAAAAGAAAAAAAACCACCCTCTGCCCGTCGCCACCTCTCACCTCGCCCCCCCCGCGGCCCCCTCCCACCGCTCTCGCCGCCGAGGCTGCCGCCCCGGTGCGCCCCGGCGAGGCATTTTCGCACCACGCCACTGCGCGGAGAGGGAGCGAGATGGAGGCGAGATAACCCCGCGGAGGGATCCGCGCGGAGGCGATACCGCCGCTCTCACGGGACTCTTCACGCTGCCCGGGAGATGCCTCCGCCGGCCTTAAAGGGGGCCCATAAAGCCGCACTGCCAAGGGCTCGCGGTGCCCCTGGGGGCCGAGGGCATGTGGACTGCGGCCAACGGGGCGGGGGCGCAGCAGAACCTTACACTTGGGGGGAAGTCGGGAGGCCACTCCCAGGAGGCTGCAGAGCCAAGGACTCTCTCCCCCGGCCCCTGGAGCAACCCCGCAGAAGTTGGCCGCGGCTTTGGCACCTTTGGACACGTGGGCGCAGCCCAGGGAACATGGGTAGGCTCTGTAGACGGACCGGACCGTACTTTGGGGGTTAAGTCCTATCCAAGTAGCTTGATGAAAGGCCACAAGGGTGACCCCGAAACCTGGTATTATCAAAGCGAATCTAAGTCCTTCTTTTCCAGACGAACAGGCCTTGTGGAAATGAGATGTACATTTACCCTTGACGCACTGCACGCCTGGCTGAGGCTCCCAGTTTAATTGATATTTAATGGAAATCATGCCCATGAATATAGTTTCCATCATTTCACCCTTGATAGACGTCAGCACCAGGCGCAGGGGGGAGGCTGAAGAATGTGGGGAGGGAGGCATTAGCATTGCTGAGGGAGTAAATAGAAAAGCGGGCAGAAATGTTCCGAGGCGGGAAGGAGGATTCGTGCTGGGGTGCGTGGTATTTCCTCGGGCAGGACGGGCGGCTCCCCGGTCTCTGCCGGGTGCAGAGCGGACCAGGGCGGACTGTGGCCCGGGGCGGATGGGGGGGACGTCCGGGGGGAGGGGCTCCCGTGAGTCTCTCCCCTGCCCAACCCCCAGTGTGACTGGGAGCTGGCCTTGGGTTTGTGCTGGTCCCAGGCAGCTGCGGGCAGCGCTGGTCTCCTGCTAGCGATTCTAGTACATCCGCCAAGCCTGTGCCGTGACTGCCGAGAGCGGGCGCCCTGCTCAGCTTTGAAAGTTACGAATTTTTCCAAAAGAAAAGAAAGAGAAGGCTCAGCCTAACTTTTAAGCGACGAGGAACACAAACGTCCCGACTCGTGTGGGCAAGTCGAATGTGAATCGCAAATATGAAGGTGGCTCTAAAGCTGCTTGGAGTTACGCCACCAACCACCTTCTTTCCCCCACCTTCTCCCCCCCCCCCCCAATAAATGTGATAGGTCTCTGTTGAGTGAGTTTCCCTCGCCAATTCGGCTTTTTTTGTGGGTTCTTTGGGTGACCCAGCCCCTTTCCCTTGCGGATAACCCATTGCTGTGAGGGCGCCCGGCCCACCTGCCGTGGGACCAACCTCGAAAGCCCTGAGTCTATCGAGGATGCTCCCGCTAATACTGAAACACACCACGCCGACTTTTCGCGCCAAATGCAAAGCTCTAAAAACCCCAGGTAACCCACAAAGGCGCAGCAGGCCAGTGACTTCGACTACCCCGCTCCTTGTGGGTTGCCCCAACCTGTGAGCGCAATCCCGAGGTCAGTCCGGGTGGACTGAATATCATATTTTGCAAATGGAGAGAGAAAAAAAGGTCGAGGAAAGGCATAACAAGATGATGTCTAAGACTCTCAATTGTTTTTACAGGGATTGGCTGGAAATAGTTAAGGTAAACGAATTGCTAATAAATCTCCAGATGATAAAGGCATCCTTTAGTTTTTAAATTAGCAAACTGCAGGAGACTTTTGTTGTGGGATGTTGAAGGGTAGGGGTTTGTTTGTGTTTGTTTTCTGTCGGTTATCACCAGGTAAAATCTACTATAAATCCTAAGGCGAAGGAACGACGAACGGATAGTGACAGTTAATTTGTATTTCAACCTTGCAAATACCCAATTAATAGAGTATTATTTTCAACAAAGCCTTGGAACTAATGTTGTAATTGTGTCTTTTTAATTTCACTGTTTGGAGTGCATGTGTTTGCATGTTTAAACACTGTGTAAAAGAGTGGATTTGGAACGGAATGGGGGGAAAGGAAGGGCGAGCCCAGATCTCAGTAATGCAAGGCATCTTCTAGAACTCTGTGGTTCCTAGGTGTGAAGAAAGAAATACAAATACTACAAAAATAATTTCTACACATTCTGGCCTAATGAAGAAAACATTGCAATACAACATTTTCTCCTAGGACAAAACAATTTGTTTTTCTTCCAAGCATTTTGTTTATA